GTAGATTGTATCATGCACATTGGTGCTTTATTGTACACTGTGTCTTGAACATTGTTGCTTTATTGTACATTGTATCGTGCACATTGTATCATGCACATAGTTGCTTATTGTACATTGTATCATGCAAATTAGTGCCTTATTGTAGATTGTATCATGCACATTGGTGCTTTATTGTAGATTGTATCATGCACATTGGTGCTATATTGTCAATTGTATTATGCATATGTGTGCTTTATTGTACATTGTATCATGCACATTGGTTCTTTCTTGTACATTGTATCATGCATATTGGTGCGTGATTGTACATTATATCAAGCACATTGGTGCTTTATTGCACATTGTATCATTCACATTGATGCTTTATTGCACATTGTATTGTGCACATGTGTGCTTTATCGCACTTTGTATAATGCACATTGGTGTTTTCTTGTACATTGTATCATGCATATTGCTGCTTTATTGCACATTGTATCATGCACAGTATCATCAACGTTGTATCAAGGTCAGCTGATTGATGTTAAAATCCAGTGAGGACTGTAATTTTTATAGCGAAAAGTGAGCATTTACAAAATTTGATAATTGGCGCAGAGTATAAAATATTTTTATAACTGTAAAACAAAATATTATTTTTTTAAACAGGGCACATATTTCAACTGGTCAATACGAATCATCCTTATTTATTTATTTATTTATTTAGGAATTTTTATATAGCGCTTACCTTAAAGCTCTAAGCGCTTTACAATTATTAAAAACATGTAAACTAACTAAAATAAAAATGAGACATTAGGATAGTAACTACTATACTATAGAAACAATTAAAATGGCTATAAAACGAGGACATTTTGGCACGTTTTGGCCTATACTACAGGATTAACCCGATACAGATAATGAGGCAGGGCAAGGAGGGTGCATCACAGGTCAAAGGCGAACCTAGACAGATGGGTTTTAAGGGACTTTTTGAAAGTGGACGAATCTTCATAATGACGGATATGGAAGGGGAGCTGGTTCCAGAACGTGGGCCCATGGAAGTAGAAGGAGCGTTCACCGATGGTCCTAGTTTTGGTTCTTGGGATTGAGAGGGTTCTACTGTCAATGGAAGAACGTAGTTGTCTTGAAATAGACTCTCAGTGAGGGGTGGCCGATATGCGGTCTCCGGGAGTCATGTTGCGGCGCGCGGAGCTAGGTCAAATGAACGTAAATGTTAACTTTATTGTAGTATTACCAAAGAAACATTACATCATGAGTTGTTCGTGTCAAATATTTTTAAATTATAGCTAAGAGAAATTTGAAATATCTCACATGCATTAGCCATGACACTAGCAAAAATATAAAAGCCATATCCAGATGGTGAAATGGTAAAGGGATGTTTGGAGAGCATCGTTGAAATTCTGTGTCTAGAAAAGAAGAAGGAGTTCTAAAAAATAAGTCTGTCTCATCAGACTATTTCTAGGCGTGTGGACCACATTGGAAAACGTATTGTAGATAATTGAAAAGTCGAGCATCCGAGTTTACATTTTATGCTCTAGCATTGGGTGAAAGCACAGATATGGCAGATACTGCCCAACTCTAGCATTGGATGAAAGCACAGATATGACAGATACTGCCCAACTCTAGCATTGGATGAAGCACAGATATGACAGATACTGCCCAACTCTAGCATACGATGAAAGCACAGATATGACAGATACTGCCCAACTCTAGCATTGGATGAAAGCACATATATGACAGATACTGCCCAACTGGCATTGGTATCAAGAGTGTTGATGTTCATTTTAAAGACAGAAGAATTAGCGACATTGTATCCACTTAAGGACACTGCTAAGTCACAATATTTATTAGAGGCAGTTACATCGACATTGAATCGCTTTTCGTTACAACTTAACAACTTATAGCAGGGTGTCAAACTCAATCGCTCGGCTGGCCAAAACTCAAATCTCATGTAAGGTTGCGGGTCGAACAGGATAAACTTTCAATAAGGAGAAAATTAATCTTTTTATTTTTTATTTATTTTTTATATAAATGAAAACATCAACAAGTTGTAATAATTCAAAATCATTGTCTTACCCATTTTCGCTCTAATGCCATTTAGTCAGTGCTGGATGTTTGGCATAGTCTCTTGGCTACAAAAAATAAGTAAGTTCGTTTATGTATGGAGTAACGTTCTGTGTCATCGAGATTCTCATGATTGACGACTCATGTGTGATGTTTTGTTAATCTCCATCACAGAAAACAGCTGCTCACACATATATGTGCTACCCAACATGCTCAAGGTTCGAGCCGAATGTAGATGAAGCTGTGGCATCTCTTCAGGAATGAAACGGTGTAACTGTGCAGGCCCGAGTCCTACTTTGCCTTTAGTTTCCCGTTACACTGCAGCTCTATTAGCTCCATTTAAAAATTTACAGGAGCGGTTTCCAGGTCTATGACAAATGGTTTACGAAACAGATCAAATTTACATGTCAGTGCTTCAAAGTCGCTAAAGTGCCATGCGAACATGGCGTGAAGTAAGCTGAAGTTTTCAGCAAAGTGTGCATTGGGAAACACCATAGCGTTGAATTGGATAGAATTGTACGCCGGTCAAGACCTCGCGGGCCTGATAATAATTGTACGGCGGGGCGGATGTGGCTCGCGGGCCTTGACTTTGACACATGTGACTTACCGGGCTTACCGGATCATGCTCCAGCAATGGTTGGGAAACAGGAAGGTTTTGAAATGAGGCCTCCAAAGTCGGTAATACTTCAAAGCTAAATTTTCATTGCATTATTCAGCTTGAGAATTGGTGTTCAAAGTCCCTCAAAATGGACCATGTCATGAAAGTGGTCGTCAAAAAGTGATCTTCATTAAGTCGAACCAGTTGAACCATCGGTGAAAGCTCCTTCTACGTCCATGCGCCCACGTTCTGGAACCACCTCCCCTTCCATATCCGTCATTGTGAAGCCTCGTCCACTTTCAAAAAGTCCCTTAAAACCCATCTGTCTAGGTTCGCCTTTGACCTGTGATGCACCCTCCTTGCCCTGCCTCATTATCTGTATCGGGTTAATCCTGTAGTATAGGCCAAAACGTGCCAAAATGTCCTCGTTTTATAGCCATTTTAATTGTTTCTATAGTATAGTAGTTACTATCCTAATGTCTCATTTTTATTTTAGTTAGTTTACATGTTTTTAATAATTGTAAAGCGCTTAGAGCTTTAAGGTAAGCGCTATATAAAAATTCCTAAATAAATAAATAAATTACAGTTTAGTTCCAAGAATTTCTAAAGTCTTTGGACTCATATTATTTTTACGTTACATTTTATGCGGAATCAAGATGGCTGACCCGTGCCAAAATGTTGAAAAGACTGATTTTCAGCAAGAAATAAAATCATCCTTTGCAAGCAAGTCAATAAGTATTCCAGAGTTTTAAGACAAAGAGTGGGTTTGGAACTTTGCATTTCTTTATGATATAACTAGTCACCTAAATGACGTTAATACTCATCTAAAAGGGAAAGATCAATTAATTAACAAGGTGTATGATCATATTTCCGCATTTCAAATGAAACTTGGTCTTTGGGAAAACAGTTGAGGACAAAAAACTTTGCTCACTTTCTTACCTTGACATTGCAACCAGACGTCACTCATGAACAGGCGGATAAATGCGCTTTCTTGATACCATACTTCAACCTAGAACTTGAAAACCAATTTCAGAATTTTAAAAACATCATGTGCTTTTCTATGTATTTGAAACGCCATTCGCAGTAGACGTGAATTTATTACCAGGAAGATTACAAAAGGAACATTGTGAAATGTATTGTGGTACACAGTTAAATGAGAAATTCCATCAAGCTTGTTTGGAAAAGTTCTATAAAAGGTATTTGGTCAAGGATAAATCTCCAGCGTTTTATAAACATGCTCTGTCGATGGTTTTGGAAACACTCATGAGTGTGATGTGAATAGCTTTTTAATCGCGTGAAACTCATCTCATCAAATCACAAGTGAGAACACGAACTACTGATGACCGTTTGGAAAACTGTTTACGTGTAGCGATGACATCAGTCGAGATCAAATTTGATGCTTTTATTTCTGCAAACCAAAGTCAGGTGTCTCAGTTTTAAAATGTATAAAATTGTCTAATAAATATGTTTGATTCTCAGTTATGTTGGATTTTCTTAAGAAAAAATAAAGATACCTATTTCTTGTTTTGTTTACATTAAACCAGGCAAGCGTTTGACCACGATATCACCTATAAGGAAGCGATGATGTGGTCGAAACTGTTTGCACGCTTGCTTGTTTACTTTAATTAACAACAACACAATGAGGTGTGTGGCCCGGCAGGAAATGTTATTTCTGGAATTAGGCCGGACCGCTGAAAAGGTAGGCCACCCCTGCTCTGAACTATTATTATTATTATTATACGTGGTTTTATATAGCGTGATACCCCTGCCTAGGGCTGGGCTCACCATGCCGTACATCCAGCCTAGGGCTAGGCTCACCATGCCGTACATCCAGCCTAGGGCTGGGCTCACCATGCCGTACATCCAGCCTAGGGCTAGGCTCACCATGCCGTACATCCAGCCTAGGGCTAGGCTCACCATGCCGTACATCCAGCCGCCTAGGGCTGGGCTCACCATGCCGTATATACAATTTAACAAACATAATCAAGAAACTTAAAAAAATAATTGACATACATTAATGAAATAAAACAAAACAAATGTATGTTTAAAACTATTTACATCTCAAGCCATGGATGACACTCAGTAGCATCGTTTTTCGGTCAGAGGTGGGAATCAGTCATTTCTATCAAATTTTATTTTGGTATAGAGACATAGTTTGTTTTCTATGGATGACAGGAAAGCAACAAGAATCTGCTACTAGACATAACAATTTCCGAACTGCTTATAGCTTTTTAAAATCAGAATAATTTTGTTTTTAAAATATCAGCTCTTCCTAATTATATTTGCAAGCCTTTACTTGGAAATTAAACATTTCTAGCTTAATATTAAAACGAAAAAGAAACAAAATGTGTTGTGATTGATATATTTAATACTCAAATTAATATTAGCCTATATCTTAAATATTTTATAAACGTTATTGTTTCCTTAATAGATGGCAGCTTTTGAAAAACTCTTTGATCTAATTCATCACAAAGAGTAGTATGAATATAGCACAGAAATAATATGGGTGTGAAGTATGGTGAACACAACACAGAGATAGTATGGGTGTGAATTATGGTGAACACAACGCAGAGATAGTATGGGTATGAAGTATGGTGAACACAACACAGAGATAGTATGGGTATGAAGTATGGTGAACACAACACAGAGATAGTATGGGTATGAAGTATGGTGAACACAACACAGATATAGTATGGGTGTGAAGTATGGTGAACACAACACAGAGATAGTATGGGTATGAAGTATGGTGAACACAAAACAGAGATAGTATGGGTATGAAGTATGGTGAACACAACACAGAGATAGTATGGGTGTGAAGTATGGTGAACACAACACAGAGATAGTATGGGTATGAAGTATGGTGAACACAACACAGAGATAGTATGGGTGTGAAGTATGGTGAACACAACACAGAGATAGTATGGGTATGAAGTATGGTGAACACAACACAGAGATATTATGGGTATGAAGTATGGTGAACACAAAACAGAGATAGTATGGGTATGAAGTATGATGAACACAACACAGAGATAGCATGGGTGTGAAGTATTGTGAACACAACACAGAGATAGTATGGGTGTGAAGTATGGTGAACACAACACAGAGATAGTATGGGTGTGAAGTATGGTGAACACAACACAGAGATAGTGTGGGTGTGAAGTATGGTGAACACAACGCAGAGATAGTATGGGTGGTGAAACAAAAACACAAATTTAAATATTATCATTTCGAATTTTATTTTGACTCAATGCACTTTAACAGGGCTGTAATGTCTCTATCTCTCCTGTAAAGAGAAAATTTAAAAGACAAAAAACGAAATTAGAAAAAAACAAGATTTGAAAATATTTGAGATGTACGAAAAGAAAACATTTTAAACAAATTATTTTTATTTTCTCTTCACATTTGAACCGCACCAAAAACAAACCAATGTCACCTGAAACAAACCAATATATTGATATTATTTTATTATAGGCCTATACTAGAATAAATGACCCGATGTTATCGGGATAATAATGGTAGGTCCTTTGCGACAATTTCTAACTGCTATCGCAAAAACTCATCCCAATTCATACTTTTTAAAATGATATTTACGTTTCTAACATCATTAAGTTTTGAGAATTGTTTATCTGCTATATATGATACACGTATCATACACCCTTTCACGCTTCTAAACTTCTTTCCCCCCCCTCTAAACATGACCTTAAATTACCCAGTCTAAATTATCACTAATTATATCACTTTTGTCACTAAAGAAATTAATTGAGTGACAATTACTACGCTAGAGAAATACTTTAGATTTACCCCTTTTCAGGCCTTGAATTACAACTTTTTTCTCTCAATTTTTTTTAAAAACCTAATCTTAAATTTACAACAAAAACTTGATATATATGATATAAATATATTTTGTATTACAGGAATTCGATATATATTGATATCTTCATCAAAAATTTACACATATTTTTGCCTTTTTAAAAAAAGTATACATTATCCGAAAATCGTTAAAAAAAAAGAATTCTTTATCCAAGAAGAATCTCGCAACTATTTTTCACGCCTATATCAGATTTGACTGTCTTTAAAAAAAATTAAATTGTTAATCTCATAAAAATACACACCTCTTTACTTTTTGCAAAGTAACAACAAAAATATATTTTCATTTTAAAAAAAAAAAGGAAATATTATCCCATCTTCATTTGTCAAAATTTAATTTTCAAGTGAGTAAAATGATTGGGTTTGGATATTCATGGATATACATATATTAATGTACCCAAGATTTGTTAACGCCATTGATTTTCTTAATTGGTAAACATATATTTATTTGTCAAAAGAGAATTTAGCATCTCTTTTTCACAAATGTAATACCATAGGATTTAGTTATATTGTCATCCACGTAAAAATGTACACATCCTATTTCCTACCTCCGATATGAATTAACCCAAGAAAATCAATAATTATTTATCAAAAGCATTCCTTTATTTTGAGACCTATCTTGTGCTGCCTGGGGCAAAGTGATCAAACCCTCCCCTCCCCCACCCAGATTTAAATAAATTTAGAAAATCTTTCACCGGATTGTATGGTCCGTTCTTATTTGTATGAGGTATAAGTGTATAAGTGAATGCTATTTAGCTATGAAGTAACAGTCATATGACTTCAGAGCTGTAAAAGTCATATGACTTCAGAGTTGTAACTGTCATATGACTTCAGAGTTGTAACTGTCATATGACTTCAGAGTTGTAACTGTCATATGACTTCAGAGTTGTAACTGTCATATGACTTCAGAGTTATAACTGTCATATGACTAAAAAAAAACCTCGAACGCTCATGACCTCAATGCTCTTTGTTTCAACTCAGTTTGAGATCAGAAGGTGGGTCAACATTGCGGTGCAAGATTTGACCACACACAATCAAAGGAACGGACCGAGCAACCTTAGAAAAAGTCATTACGTCATCATTGTATTTCACGGGCGCCCCATGCTTTTGTTTTATTCATATGGCTGTAACAACTTTGGCTCATTTTTCAATACTTTTAAGTAGAAATTTTATAAAAAAATGAGTTTTTTAAAAAGTATTTTTAGTTATTTTTATTAAAGTGCACTAAGTTTAAGCCCATTTGGAGATCAGGAAGTGGGTCTAAATTGAGATGAAATACTGATCTTAAAGGGTTGTATTGTCATCGAGGGGTTGGGGGGGGGGGTAAGTGTACACTGTTTCAGTCCAATCTTGACTCAGACTGACAGACAAACAAACATACAGACAATAATCACAAGTTAAATAAAGGCGTGTAAAAATTACTGGGGACGTTTTAGATCATTTACTCTTTCACTAAGTTTGGCTGAGTCATCACATATGGAGTTTGGCTGAGTCAGCACACATGGAGTTTGGCTGAGTCAGCACACATGGAGTTTGGCTTAGTCAGCACACATGGAGTTTGGCTGAGTCAGCACACATGGAGTTTGGCTGAGTCAGCACACATGGAGTTTGGCTTAGTCAGCACACATGGAGTTTGGCTTAGTCAGCACACATGGAGTTTGGCTGAGTCAGCGCACATGGAGTTTGGCTGAGTCAGCACACATGGAGTTTGGCTGAGTCAGCACACATGGAGTTTGGCTGAGTCAGCACACACGGAGTTTGGCTGAGTCAGCACACATGGAGTTTGGCTTAGTCAGCACACATTGAGTTTGGCTTAGTCAGCACACATGGAGTTTGGCTTAGTCAGCACACATTGAGTTTGGCTTAGTCAGCACACATGGAGTTTGGCTTAGTCAGCACACATGGAGTTTGGCTTAGTCAGCACACATTGAGTTTGGCTTAGTCAGCACACATGGAGTTTGGCTTAGTCAGCACACATGGAGTTTGGCTTAGTCAGCACACATGGAGTTTGGCTTAGTCAGCACACATGGCGTTTGGCTTAGTCAGCACACATGGAGTTTGGCTTAATCAGCACACATAGAGTTTGGCTTAGTCAGCACACATGGATACGCTTACCTGCCCCTTAAATATAGCAATCTTACCTACTGAATCATTAAGATAACAGAAAGAAAAAAAGGTGGACACAGATCCCTTATAAAAACAAAGATGAGAAAATAATTAAGAAAGAGAGCGACACCAATAAGGAAAATATATTGCAGCTATGTGAGTGTGTATGTGGAGGGGGCTGGGGGGTTGAGCGCGGCAATCGGTGCAGGCAAGTGTTATCCTAGAAGATATTAGAAGGAAATTGTAGAATAAAGTATTGAACAGGAAAAAACTAAACAAACCCTAAAATCATAGTTTTTTATTTTTTAATAGATCGTTATGACATGTAAAATCTATTTTGGGGGGGGGGGGGGAGGTGCAGTAATATTACTTCCTATCCACATTTGAGAGCTTCTGGTATTGGTAGGATTCCATCATTACCAGGGGCTTTCCCGCATGCTTGTGGGGGGGGGGGGTGGAGGTGCAGTAATAGTACTTCCTATCCACATTTGAGAGCTTCTGGTAGTGGTAGGATTCCATCATTACCAGGGGCTTTCCCGCATGCGAGACAATCAATGACTCTACGTAGCTCTTCTATGGTTGGTACGGTATCAAGCTTCTCCATGACTGGTTTGACTGGGATATCGTCCAGGGCAGCGGTTGAGACTTGGTTTATTGATGAGTACGGTTCCAAGTAGTGCTCGATCTACCGTTTGAGTAGTTTATCTCGATCAGAAATACGCTCCCCTGAGTTGGACATTAAGGGCGCATTCTTGGAGGTCAGAGAGCCTGTTGCTTGTTTTATATTCTCGTACATAACTTTTGCATCTCCTCTATCAGCAGCTGATTGTATGCTTGAGCTTAGATTGAGACGGTATGTGTTAGCGTAGTGGCGAGCTGCCTGCTGGGCATTTGTCTTGGCACTTTTAAGGGATTGTAGAGTTGCTGGGTAAGGTCTGTCTTTATAAGCTAAGAGGGCCTTTCTTTTTGCATCGGTGACGTTTCATTTCCTGCCAATGGGCCTCGAACCAATTTGCACTTTTGCGTTCTCTCTTGCCAAATGCCGTGATAGCTGAGTTATAGATGGTGTCCCGCAGATGTGACCATTTAGACTCAAAAGTGTCTGTTGGTGGCATTTGTTCAAGAACTTCTAGAAGCCTATGGGTGTATTCTTCTGTTCTCTCTGGGTTTTTGGTGGAGCAGATGCTTATGCGTGGTTTATCCTTGTTTTTGGTGTGATTCAGTTTATTTGGCTGTAGCCTTATCTTGTCAGCCACTAAGGAATGATCTGTGTCGCAGTCTGCGCTGTAGTAGCTGCGTGTGAGGAGGACACTGGCCAGTTGTTTGCGTCTTGTGATTATGAGATCTAATTGGTGCCATTGTTGAGAGCGGGGATACCTCCATGACACTTGGTGGATAGCCTTACAGTTGAAGTAGGTGTTAGTTACACAAAGTCCATGTAGGCCAGACAGTTCTAATAATCTCTGCCCATTTTCATTTAGCCTGCCTCTTCCGAAATGACCGAGGCGTGTTGGCCAGGCCATGTGATCACTTCCCACTCTTGCATTGAAGTCACTCAAGAGGTAAATTGCTTCGCTGTAGGATATGCTGGTTATTGTTTGATTAAGATCTTCATAGAACTGGTCTTTCGCTTCTGAGCTGGAGGAAAGGGTAGGAGTATAAGCACTGAGGATGTTGACTAAACGTGAAGATGTTGAGAGGCGTATGGTTTG